AGATAGTTTTCGTTCCGCTGTTCATGTCTAGTGAAGTATTTGGGATGGGATCACCAAATCTTGTGAAATGAAGTAAAAATACAAGACAGGGAAGAATATTCAAAGGTCTGGGGGAATCTATCTATATGTTGGGCGATAACAACGTCTTTAGCAGCCCTTGTATATCGTATGGAAGCCATTAATAAAGAAATAGAAATAGCAGCGAAGAGAGACAAGCTCCACAGCAAGGTTTCAGCAGCAGATGAGACAATAAAAACATTAGATTTAAGGCTCGACGCTTTAGGATTGTCTCACGAGACAATATGATTAAAGCATTTTTATCTTTTTTGTTATTATCATAGAATTTCGACTGTTGTGTCATCAGGCATTCTTCAGTTGTCTATTTAACAGGCAATTTAAAACTAAACCCTTTATTTAATCGACCACGGCGGTAGATAGTTTTCGTTCCGCTGTTCATGTTTAGTGAAGTATTTGGGATGGGATCACCAAATCTTGTGAAATGAAGTAAAAATACAAGACAGGGAAGAATATTCAAAGGTCTGGGGGAATCTATCTATATGTTGGGCGATAACAACGTCTTTAGCAGCCCTTGTATATCGTATGGAAGCCATTAATAAAGAAATGGAAATAGCAGCGAAGAGAGACAAGCTCCACAGCAAGGTTTCAGCAGCAGATGAGACAATAAAAACATTAGATTTAAGGCTCGACGCTTTAGGATTGTCTCACGAGACAATATGATTAAAGCATTTTTTTTGTGATTTTAGTGGCATAATAATAAATGTGAAATCGATCTCTGAGTTGACCCAGACTCAATGGAAACAGGGCTAGCAATAACTGACATGATATATCCTGACAATAACTGACATGATATTCTCAGACATGGACAGTGGAACGAGAACGTAGATTAAATAAAAGATTTAATTCGAATTTCACTGACGGTTACCGGGGAGCACAGCGGGTGAAACGTTGTTATAGTAACAATAAAGATGAGGATATTAGTTTCACTTTAAATAATGGTAATTCCTCATTTTAGGCATTTAAGTAAAAATGTGTTCATTGTTTTGCATTTGTTTTCTCATTGGCCGACCATGAAAATGTCATAGGAAAGCATTTAGCCAAACATCAAGAGACACTCCAAGGATTATTATAGCGGTTAAATCAATTCTATTGAACAAAATTTGCGAATGGTCGATGCATATTTATCTTTCGAGGTTTTGAGTCTCAAAATAAAACGTGTTATGTTATTTTAATGGTTCAAGTATTGATAGCGAAACGCTTGCAAAATTGAAGTGGTAGTTGTTCAACTCGACATTTATAATCTAAATAGAAAAACGCTAATTGCACGAAGCTGTTATTAAATTTGATAGGGAAAAGCGAGGTCAAATCAATTTGATAAATTTCTTACAATGGACTGTCCCAGCGACTGATCGATGCAAACATATACGTGTTGACGAAGCTTAAATATAAACACACACATATATATATAATTCTATTTGAGAAACAATGGAAAACATTACAATTTCATATAATTAATGATGTGTCGAGTTCAAGTTTCTTTCAATGCAATTTGTATTTCCCCATACTTTATTCTATTTTCCCTATTAAATTCGAAAGCTAATTTGGCCATCAATCTAATCAAAGTATGTTTTTCTTTTTTACTTTTCTTTATTTATTCTATAATTCCGAATTGATTCAGACTTTTGCGTAGGATCCCAGATTAATATTGGATTTTCTTTATAGCTTTAAAAAGTGATCATTATGAAATGAATAGATATTTACGAACTGAATTATCCGCAATATCATTCTATCACCGCCGATCAGACACCGAATTACTGCCAGTCACGATGAACGGATATCCCTTTGAGGGGGCACCGTATCTTGACAGCATATTGAGCCTCAAACTCACACCAGATCCTCAAGTTGAACTTCTTATATACGATCCATCGCTAAAGATGCAGGTAAAATGATCAGCTTCTTGCACCTCTCCAGTAAACACCTGACTCATGATGCTATCCTCTAATATATGAGCCAGATCAGGCCGAAAATACTGTTGCCATATTTGGGCGGGAGCTGCACAGTCCTCGCTTTCCAGTTTTGATAGAATTCAAAAGTGTCTCCGAGTCCTTATGAGAGACGGACTATTTCCCACTCTCCAACCTTTCTCTAACAGGCGGAATATGGCGAGTCTCTCGCTGTTCTATTGCTCTTCCATGGAAAAGGGCTCGGACAAAAATATTCTTTGGTTCCGTTAGGTCTAACCTTAACAGCTAGGACCCGCCATGCCACTTACATTGTAGTAAACCACCCACATTCCCTCCGCATTCCACCAGTGAAAAGTAAGTTACACTCAAACAGCTTCTCGCGAACCACTGCACTGTGGATGTTTCCCCGATCGCTACAATCTTAACCTGTTCAAGTCTAGACTTAAAAGTTATTTTCCATTCCTATCTATATATACTGGCCCTTAATGTAACTCTCTATCTCGAGTAGCCTTGTACTGTGGATTTTAGAATTATTGAAAATCAAAATCGAATGCAGCCAATCGAAAATACATGTTTTTATTAGCATCACTTCAATTACAACATTAAACAAAATTTCTGCTGATACTTAAAAACTTTGGAAACAGTGAATGTTACAAGTTCGATGCTCGTTGCGATTGTGTTGCTGACTCTACGTGATAGTTTCTTATAGGATTCTTATATTTAGAAAATAAAGCAGAGAAATAATTCACAACTAAAATAGAAACTAATGAACTGTTTAATTAATCTGTTTCCTTTATATTTTTAGATCTTCAATAGTATCTTATGATTCATTGATTACTCCTGGTATTATATAAATCATTTTTTGCTCATCTTTTATTAAAAATTTAATATAACAGCGAAATAGAAATAACTCTCAGATTAGAAACAGAACGATAAAGACGGCGGCGATGACAAAGCTTGTTTCCAGATCAAGTTGAAGAAAGACGATCACTTATCTGTGTACTTCACATAAAAGGCCTGTACAAATAAGACTGAAACCTAAGAAATTTTGGAGTAAAGGTTAAACTGTAACTGTAAGTAACTGGTTAAATAAACCGTTCATTTTACTTGGGAAGTAATTTTATCTAGATAATGCAGATAAATATTTTATTTGTATAGGTTATTAAAACGATTAAAAGAAGTAATCACAAAAAATTACTAAGTTAATTTACCTCCCTTCCCTCAACAGATGGGACAGAAAATATATAAATAAATACACATTGATGATAAGATAAAGAAGAAATAAGAAATGCTTATCAATCTAGCATGTTTCACTTTTATTAAAGCTTCATCAGAGACTGAGGAACGGAGAAAAAGAGAAATTCTGGTATTTTCACTTTTTGTGTTGTTTGATTTTCATTGGTCAATCACGTGCATTTTAACCGTAAATATTGCGATATATATGTAAGTTTGTAAAAATTCTAATTTGTCTATGTGGACCTCAGATAATAATGTGTATTCGTAACTCTATGTGTGTATGTATGTCTAGTAAGAGAAGTTATTATATTTTTACTTTTGCGTATATCACTTCATAATTGTGTGTGTGTGTGTGTGTGTGTGTGTGTAATAGACATTATGTTTGTTTTTTTTTGTTTCGTGTGTTGATTTGGGAACGTTTTTATGCACATACTGTTTGTTTTAGACAGACATATGTTAGTTTCTTTAAGAATGAATTCAGTAAAAGTTGGCAATGTAATATAATGTTTCTGACGTGTGTTTATAGTTGGTATTATTATTATTATTATTAAGCTTTCAAAGTATTTTCTCCTTAAGGAATTATGTTCTTTTTAATTCGGGTGGCATTAGTAAAATCAAAGTTATGGCCAGTTTTATTCCTGATATTACAAGTGAGTTTGAATGATTGCCAAAACGTAAATCTCTTTTGTGCTCGTAGATACGGCTTTTAGATCACGTGATGTCTTCCCTACATAAACATCTTTGCATTGTAAACAATTTATTTAATAAGTACCGGCATCTGAATTGACGTTGCATTTTTTTTCTTAATTATATCCGCGATTGTCTTGGAAATGGTGGTGAATATCCTAAATTAGTTATCCGTAATACTAAGGATAACTAATTTATTTTCAAGTTTAGTAGAAAGAGTGTAGGAGATTAGCATTATGAATTATGTGTTATTTTTGTTAGAAGTGCTTTTGGTGGTGTCTAATGTTTTTGGCTTTGTAGATTTTGTGAGCTTGTTTTCTAGCGTTGAGGATGAAATCTTCTTCATTTAGGTATTCTTGGCCACATATCATAAGGGCTCTAAGGTAAAATCCTATGACTAATCTCAATTTTATTCTTTGATTGTGATGAGAATAGAAATTAATTAGATCATTTTTGTTAGTGGCTTTATGATAAACATTAAAGTCTAATTTCTTATTGTTATGTATTAATACGATGTCGAGAAAAGGTAGAGATTTGTTTATTTCAAATTCATATGTACCTTAACTTCGGAGTAGACTAATGCTTTTTGTAAGTTTTCACTTTACTTGTTTGGAGGCATCAACATTAACTTTAATTAAACTGAGCGCGAAACAAACAAAGCAGGGAATTGATTTCAAATGAAGCCATTATTTATACTTTTTAAAAAATGGAGAATTACGGCCATCAATAAACAATTAATTTTATCGAGTTAGTCATATAACCATTAGAATGTTATATAACTCTTAAAAGTCATATGACCATTAAAACGTTGATTCGTTAATAAGAGAGTAATAGGAAATGATTATCCAAATTAATGAACAGCGAACTCTCTCGATTATTGCTCAAAACGAAGTCAAGGGGAATTATAGAATTTTATATATTTGTGACATTTTCACATTAAACTGAGTCATTTGAGGGAAAACAATATAAATAAGAAGAGAAAAGGAATAGAAGCGTAAAAAGTAAGGAATTATGAAGACCATTATTTCTGTTGCTAAAGAATCTTCTTTTGTAATATGCATAACAATAGAATAATATTTTCGAGATTCCAAGAGCATGATTCTTCTACGGTACCAGAAAGAATCTGTGCCATATTCCACCAAGAAGACAAAAACTGTAACATGTTCAATTCTCCTTGTAAATTTACCGATAAATAATCATATGTATTAACCTAGGAGATCTGTTAATACTGTCCAGTCCAGCCGACTCGTGAATACTGACAGATCTATGAAAGAAGTAGCTGTTTTCATTCTTTTTTTCCCGGATTGGCATTCGTCTCTTTCCGGACTGGCACTCGTCTCTTTCCGGACTGGCACTCGTTTCTTTCCGGACTAGCACTTGTCTCTTTCCGGATTGACCCTCGGCCACTTTCTGATTGGCCGACAGTTTCACATTTTTGATTCTTTCTGCTGAATCGGTAGAAGCTGATAAGTGTTGTTTTAATGTATCAACAAAATTAGTAGATTATAAAAGAAATATACTTTAGTTTTGCTCCAACTACTGTTCTCGTCTTGTTTATTATAATACCCTGTTCAAGTGCCCATTTTAAAATTGCATTTTTCTTGATTATTGTATTATTTCTCTGCGTTTTTAGGTATGTTCTTCTTCGTTCCCGCCAAAAGAGAATATATTGTTTCATTATCTGGTCTAAAGATTGAACAGATGACAGCAACACACGTTTACACTACGAAAAGTACAGTAGGGGTGTATTTTTAGAGCTTTCAAATCCAATATGTTTTCACCATTGGTTATCATAACGGGTTCGTATCGATATTTTTGAGATGAAGAATTCTTAGTATACTTGAATTTATTCGAACTATTGTTCCCATCTTTATTATTATTGATGTTATTATAGGTACCGTGTTTCGGCAAGATATCATTCGGTCATCATCAGGTGTCCATTTCTTGGTTAATATGAGATATCTGTTGATTATTGTGTTATTTTGTTCATTTTTCTTCCTCCCTTTTGAACCGGTGTGTATTGTTTCAAGAAGAAATGAATGAATGTCAATTTGTTCAATTTTATTTTTGGCTCTTCAAGCAATTATTTTTTTTATATAAATTCATTCTAAGGAAATGTAGTTTTAATTAGTGATAAATTGTGAGCAAAAGTTAATGGAAGTGCATTAATCTGTTGGTTATCGAATAAAAGGTTCTGTTTAAGGAAATTCCTTAAAACATAAATCCGCAGAGAGAAAGCGTTCATTAATTAGAACAAAAGCTTTGTGACAGAAAAAAATTAAATTATCATAATATTTGTATATTTAATACGACATAGCGAATAAATAATTATAAATAATATTTATAATTCATTGGAAATTCTAAAAAGTCGTTGGTTGTAGACACCCAAGTTACTTTGCTTAACAATAATGGAGATTTCAAGCAATAATTCAAAATAATAATCACGATATAATTAAAGTAAAATAAAAAAAATGGAGTTTACATATGGGCGGATTTGAATTCATGACTCCTAGATTAATCAACGATTATAACGTAGAAGTTTTTTCATATTTATTAACTCATTATGAGTCAGCGGGCGGTGACTCATGCCAATAAATACTAGACGTCCGAATCGAAGTTAATGTCTGAAAAACATGTTCTAAAATGTGTTGATCTGTGTTGGCCAGTGTTATATTATACTCACACTGAGAGATACCATAGTAGGCTTTGCACTCTATGCCACAACACAGCATTAAGAGTCAGGTACATAAGAATTTGGGTTTGGAAGGTGATCTTATAACCACCAGTTTTAAAATCAGACCATTAGAGTATACCAATGGCTGCTCCAATATGTAAACAGGAGGTCGACCCCATCCGAGCTTTGGATTTGCACATGTGAGATAGCCAGATTCATTGAAGTGATATAAGCACACCACCTGAGAGAGAAAAGTGAGTGTAGCTCATCATTACGTGAAGGAGATCAACGTTCGAAGAAAGCCCTGACCAACCCCAAGCACACACAATCTAGAAGTGAATAACTGAAATATTTAGATTCGGGTTCTTACGAGACGTTGCAAAAGTAACGCTAAAATAAACAAAAGCAAAAAGGTAAAATGCATGCAGCTGATCTGTAGAAAAGTCACGTTGAAACAACGGTAAGAGAAAAGAGAATTTCTTAATTTAAGGTAAATCATAAATAGCTTTTTAATCTTTCTGCAGAATATATACAAATATATTTTTGTCTGTAACCTTTTTTTATCGACAGTCCATAGGAGAATATTAATAACCCCTTTGTAGTGTGGACGCAGTGTCTTTTATATGTCAATGGTAAACTTCTCAAAGATATTTACGTAACCGCTAACCGGAAAGACCGACTCCGTGAAAGAGTAGACTAATAATAATTGGAAAATATATTTAAAACTAATATGAGAAAGTCGAATAATAAAGAGAAATTTTCTTCCAATAAAAGTTTGAAAGCCACTCAAGGTAGATGAGTACAATCGCAATGGTAATGTTCAATAAGATGTATGATATGAATGAAAAAGGCTGGGAAAAGAAGATGGAACATATTGATGTTAAAAGATCAAGATTCATGGGTTCAGGGAAGCACACATGCGGGTGTCTGTTTCATAAGATGGTGGTTCTTGGGAGAAAAGCTGTCTGAGTGAAACTTCCTTTCCTGAAAATGCATTGTTGTTCGGGGGATAATAAAGAAAAAGTGTGGCGAATCCAGATCGCCTACATCCTGAAGGAGTATGGGGTTAAAAAATGAGGAAAGAAGGCTTAGAGAATTTAGCACTTACAGGGCACACTGAACGCAATCGTAGCTGGTGAAAACATCATGTAAGGTACTTAACGAATTTGTGGGAATGGATGGCGGAAGAAGTTCTGAAAAAGGATAAAGGGTCGTAAAAGAGAAAGTATTCAGAAGATCAAGAGAAGAAAGTGTGGAGAGTCATGATCTTTAACGTTATGAATGGACACACACAGAATCACGGAATTTTTCAGTAGATTCGTTTTACTTTCATTGAGGTGGAATAAAGAGCGAATTTCCCCATGGAATTAAAAACAGTTACTATAGAGAATTACTAAGTAGAGCTTAGGTGTGGCACAAGACCGATATTATGGAGCACCCAGTGAGGATCGAACTTACTACTCAATCGTAATAATAATATCGAGATAAGTTTGCCAACCATGTCGACCTGGAGTACCTCGGAGTGGTGTAATGGTTAGCAAGCTTGTCTCGCAAAAAAACAGTTACGAGTGAATAGTGAGTTCGATCGTCACTGGGTGCTCTATACTTTTGGCCTTGTGCCACATCTAAGCTACGCTTAGAAAATCATTTAGGGTACTTCGGAGTGGTGTAATGGTTAGCAAGCTTGTCTTGCTAAAAAAACAGTTACGAGTGACTTTATAAGCAATTAAAGAAACACTGTAATAAATTGAAACACTTGTATATCATATTATTTATTTCAGAAGTCAGCAGAAAAGTTAAAGCGTTGAGAGGAGAGACAGAAATAAAAAAACGGAGCTCTTTATAGAATTAAGCTCTTCAATTTGCATCATCAACACATAATCTTAAGAAGCTTAAAATATAACTGGCAAGATGTAAAAAGAAACCTCGATCCAGCATTTCGAACCTATTAAAAATTAATCTCTTCTTAAGTAAATCGCTGTAGAAGCAAACATGTGAGCTGCTTCAATGTTCATTGACCTCGTCATCGCTGGCCACCAATAATAAAATCTGTTTAAAAATAAACACGAGATAAGTATAATAGAAAGGAAGTGAGTCGAGCTGAAATATAGAGAAACATTAATGATGGTTAATGATTTGTCATTGCTATGAAAATAAGAACAACAATATTACTTAAGAAATAAATAAAAGGAAAGAATTTTTTTATAAAGCCAGTAGGTATGTACATCAATAAAAGAATGATATTCTCTTTCTGTCTCTCTTTTTTCTATCTCTCTCTCTCTCTATATATATATATATATATCTCGATATATATATATATATATATATATATATATATATATATATATATATGTGTGTGCGTGCGTATGGGTGTGAGTGTGCAACGTTAGAAAAATTAATGACAAACTGAAAAAGATTTTTATAACATTGTTCTAGCATGGAAAAATTTATATACAATTTTCTCTCATATGTGACGCGTGAAGACGCAATATTTGAAAAAAGATGAAACTGACACAACAATACACACACACGCATACACACACAGACACACACACATATATAACAATACACACACGTACATATATATATGCATTATTTAAAAACGCATACTGATAACGGCTTATGAAAGCCAAAAATATTCAGACATTGAAAAATTTATATTAAAATTTTCACCGAATAACAGGAAAATGGTCCGAAATATATATAAAAACTGATATATATATATATATATATATATATATATATATATATATATGAGATAAAGATATATATTTTTATATATCGAGAAAAGTATTTGTGAAATTATATGACAAAGTGGAAAAGTTAAAGTTCACTTGTGATGCGTTTCGTCCTTCAGGACTTCATCGGATTAAATTTGGTATGTTGTTAGGACTACACATGCGCACGACAGGTTTTTAAAAACCCTGGAGAACCTTCTGACCCTTTATCACCCTATTAGTCTCTTACTGCTTTTTGGTAAAGTATTCAAGGCTTTAATCAATGCTGAAGTGGTTAAGCATCTTACCTCTCACAATCTGATCTACGACAAACAATATGGCTTCCGTTTTGTCAGGTCAACTACTGATGTGCTAATATCCGTCAGAGTTGACAAAGTTTACCTGGCCGCCGCTGCTCTTGAAAAGGACCTTCAATCAATGAAAAACTAGAACAGGAAATGACTTGTAAATCTTAATGCCTCCAAAATGAAACTGCTCTCATTTAACCGCTACAGAGAATCTTTCCTGACCACCATCTGAACGACTAACGGAGAGTAACATGGATAATTTTGCTGTTACACGATTTGGAACATTTTGCAGTTACACCCGGTATATATTTACATTGTTTATACCGTTCGGACTGTTGTCCTCATCCTTATTGCCATATTCATGACGTATCGCCCGTTGTACACTCCGACCTTCTTCATTTGGTATCTGTTGGAATTTCGAAACGGACCCTTTTAATCCACAGGAAGAGATTGTTCTAATTCCTCGTGCCATGCCTTTTAAAATTTTTTTTTTGATATCCAAGTATCAGTTAATCCCCTTTAGTAACTCACCTATCCTAGCTTTTGTTCCCTCTGCCTGAACTGATGCGATTGTTATGTACACAGGTGGGACGGCCGATGATAGGGAGATAAACACCCACCTGAGAGAGAAGAAGAGAAGTGTCAACTCCTCGCGGGAAGAAGAAAAATACACGTTCGGAGAAAGCCATAAAACCACGTAACCACCGTAAACCTAGAGTTTAATA